TGCATTTCAATCTGACGTTTCGTTTTGGAGAACCAATTCATTCACTCATTCATTCACTGATTCATTCGCGCGTGCACGCACACATGCACCCAACAATTATTCAGCCACAACCTTTATCCTGGGTGCTAGAAGATGGAGGGTGTCACGCTTGAATTGGGGAACACTGGGGAAAGGCCAGCGGTCCATCAGTGAGCAACCAGAAGCCTTTGAATCAACTGAGGGGTGAGAAAGCCTTTCTGGATGGGGTGGGCCTGGAGCAGCCAGGTGGCTAGGCAGACTGTCAGGGGGATGCTAAGGTGGAAGGTGGCGCGACAGAGTGGTGCCAGGCCTGGCACTAGCTACTGCCAGCCCTCTGGGGTATGGGGGTCTCTGTTATGGCCTGAGTCACTTGCCTCATACCCCAAGCCAGGAGCCTTCGAGGACAGTCTTAAGGGCCTTGTGGCCATGGTGTGTTTACATTCCTGCTGTCCTGGATCTAGGAGAGCTCAATGGCAGCGGGTGATCCAGGCTAGACAAAGCCAGGTGCTCTGTGGGCCAGCTTCTCTCCTTTATGGGGGTTCAGTTGGTCTATCTTCTGAGCTCAGTGACCTTGGGCATTGCTAGCACTGCTGGAAGGGGCTGTATATCTGGACCAAGGCTGGGGTTTGTATATCTGGACCAAGAATCAAAACACGCCCCCCACCCCAAAAAAAAAAAGAAAAAAACCAGGGCAAGGGCTGAAGAGGTGGCTCAGATGGTGAGCAGCATTTATTGCTGCTCTTTCAGAGACTTCGGGTTCAGTTCCCAGCACACATGGAGGCTTACACCCCCCTCTAACTCCAGATCCAGGGCATCTACTACCCTCTTCTGGCCCCTTACAGGAAGGACAAGGGCCTGATACACATGCACACATGCATACAAACCACTCATACACATAAAATAAAAATAAATTCACCTTAGGATAAAACAGGGCATTTCACTGTTCTTTGGCTTGTGGGAAACTTTGTCCCCTTGACAGGTGTCTGGAAGGGGAGGAAGAAAGGAGTAGTTGCTTCATGGTCATGGATGTGGGGCGAAACCCCAGCCCAGCATCCTCTGGGGGTAGGAACGGGCCAAAGGTCCAGGGATCTGTTTTCACAGTAGTAGGGATGAGCAGGGCAACAGGAGGCCATTATCACCCTAGGATTCAGCCATTTCCAGGCTCTTCCAAGCTCCTCTTGGGACATGAGGCTGAATATGGCTGGTGTTGGGCAGCCCTGGGGAGGAGCCTGAACTTCCGATCTCATAGCCTTGAAGCTACCTTCTTCCCCTCACTTCTTCCTTATCCCAGTCTCTATAGATCTAGAATATAATCCAGCATTCTCCCCCTGGACCTCCATACTCCTGCCTTCTCCTGGGCAGAGTGGCAAAATACCTTTAATCCCAGCACTCGAGGAGGTAGAGGCAGGTAGATCTCTGTGAGTTCAAGACTAGCCTGGTCTACAAAGCAAGTTCCAGACCAGCCAGGGCTAAACAGATAGACCACCTCAAAACCAACCAACCAACCAAACTAACAAACAAAAGACAAGACTCCTGTTCTCCACCCCCTTTCTGCTTACCAATTCCAGTTTCTAGAAGATATCTCTTTCTTACCAAGATCTTTAGGAAAATGTTTTGGTTTTGGTTTATTTGTTTGTTTGTTGAGATAAAAATGTAGCCATGGCTATCCTCGAACTCTTTATGTTTTGTTTTGTTTTTAAGACAGGATATCTCTACATAGCTCTGACTGTCCTGGAACTCACTTTGTAGACCAGGCTGGCATCAAACTCACAGAGATCCATCTGTCTCTGCCTTCCAAGTGCTGGGATTAAAGGTATATAGTACTATGTCTGGCTTTAAAAAATTAAATTACATTTATAGATCTATTTCAGGGAGCACAATGGGGCATGCCATGTGGAGGTCAGAGGACAGCTTACAGGAATTGGTTCTCACTGTCTACCATGTAGGTCCTGAGGAACTGTGGCAAGCACCTTTACCAGCTTGCTGAACCATCTTCCTGGCCCTACCTCCCGGCAGGGCTTTTGCCTTTGCTGTTCTCTCTGCCTGGAAAGCTCTTTGCTCAGATCTTAGCATGGCTGGCTCCAGGGCACCTGCCATTTAAGGCACCACTCCAAACCTACCTCCTCCAAGGGGCCTGCCTAGCCCCTAAGAATAGCAGTCACTTCCTTCATTATTTACCTTCCATAGTACGATGTTTCCATCATGGTCCCTTTCCCAAAATATCAATGATTGACAGCTGGTGTGCTCGAAGGCCATTCACCCCATCCATTGAGGAGTTTCAGGAGAGTGGGGCCTTGAGAATCCCATGACTACATTCCCACCAATGTTTGCCGAATGAATGAAACACACACACACACACACACACACACACACACACACACACACACATCAGTAAAGCTCATTTCCCACGTTTAATACTTCGTGGCCCCCATGAAGAAGAGGGTGTTTATATAGCAGATGCCCTCACACCTAGTATCATCTTTATTATTTCTATCCACCACACTCTGCCTATCCCACAGATGATAAAGTTGGGGTCACCCAGCAAAGGTGGAAGCAGTGGGGGCAGAACCTGGGAGTCCCGACTGGATTCAGTTTGAAGTCTGTTTGATTTTGCACAAAGCTCACCAGGCATACTAGACCTCAGCCCAGGATTGACCATCAGGCGTTTAGGGCTTGAACAGCAGGCGAAGATCTAGAGAGGTGGAGAGTTGGTGTGGCATAGTGGTTCTTCAGGTGGGCTCAGATGAGGACCCTACAGGACCCTCTTACTCAGTGATCATTTCCAGGCAGAATACCTTGGCTCTCAGAAATGGAGCCAGCTGGAGGGATGCCTTCACACCGGAAAAGTCATGCAGAAGCCCCTAGACCTCGGGCTGGTCATCTTTTGCTAGAACTTTCCCTCCTCTGAGCCCCAGTAGAACCCAAGCTATCTTGAAGCTCTCTATGCTATGGAGACTGGCCTTGAACTCAATCTTTCTGGCTCTCTTATCACCACACCCAGCTCCCAGTGGCCACCTCTTTAAAGTGGGTGTAGCAGCACAGATCCAGAAAGAGATCTTGGGAAGATGAGAAGTGAGAACGGAGTTGTTGACGTATAGAAAGTAACATGCAAATGTGAATTATCTAAAAATAATCCAGGTGACATGCCGAGAGGTTGGAACTTAGAAGACCCCTCAGGTTCTTCCAGCATTTATTGGCACCTACTGTGTGCCAGCTGCTGTGCCAGGGCCGGGAAACTCAGGGATGAGTCAGTATGGGCCCTAAGCATCTGGGTATTCGGAAGAGAGGGGTGGGGGGTTGTGAGCTGTGTAGTTCCCAAGGTCCCACCGGAGAGAAGAGGCTTGTGGGGGAATGGTGGCAGGTGCCAGGCCGAAGTGAGCAGAAACCCACTCCCCGACTCTTCCCTCCTCCTCATGGCCTTGAGAAGATCAGGCCACCTCTCCAATTCCCATACCCTCTTCTCTAAGATGGGAATGCCAAGGCCTGATACACCATAGTTCCAACGACTCCAGTATGGGTACCTAGGAGTTCTTAGGCAGAAAATGACTCTGTTCTGGGACTCAACTCTTGAGTGATAATGTGCCTGTAAGAATGGCTTGGGGACATGGGGGTGCCCCCCCCCCCAGGGGACAGCAGAAGGGACCATGTGGTAATTTCTTACGCCCTGATAAGAAAGGAAGGCAGAAATCCTGAAGGCTTAGCCTAACCCCTTATTTATACTTGTAATTTCATAGGGGAGGGAGTAAGTTCTATACTGGTCAGATCTGCTCAGGTGGGAGGGGATGTGGGGTCACTAAGTTTATTCACGAAGGGATTCTAGGCCAAGGTGCGCCCGGGAAGGTCAGGCTTCACAGCATGGGTTTGTGGGTGTGTCAAGGTCTTCAGAGACTCGGTGAGGTTGGCACCAGTGAGGCCACAAGGTGACTTCTGAAGGGCCTGGGGCTACCCACCCCCACCTCCACTAAGGCAAGGCCGGCCAGTCTTTGGGGAATTCAGATGAGGCGGAAGGGGAAGAAGTTCGGGGGCTCGAAGGGTGGCAGCTTGGGGTTCCCTCGGGCACCGGGCTGACACTGACACTAGAGAGGTCAAGCCAATTCCGGAGGGAGGGAGAGGAGCCTGTCCCATACCACCCGGGTTGGGCTAGCTCGGCTAGAACGACCCAACCCGGGAGGCTGGGAAGGGCGAGTCGCTGGGCTAGGGTTTGTGCCCTACTCCCCGCGGGACAGCCAGCTTGTCCCGGCAGAGAGCGGCCTTCCAGGCTGTGGGCCGGGCCGGCCGGGTGGAACGCGGTCCTTAGCTGGGTACTGCGCGCCTGCGGCTGCTGTCCTCCCGGCCGCTGCGGGTGCGGCGGCCCCCGCGCCCCCAGGGGCCGGGCCGGGCGGGGCTCGGCGCGCGGGCGCGAGAGGGAGGGGGGCGGGCGGCGGCTCAGGCTGCGCCGCTCTAACAGGTGGGATCCCGCGGCGTGGTGGAGGCGGGCGCGGGAGGAGGAGGAGGAAGAGCAGCGGCAGCGGGAGCCCGAGCCGGAGCAGAAGAAGCAGGATGAACCGCGCGAGCTGACAGCCACCGCTGCCGCCCGCGCCCAGGCTCGGTCTCGCTCTCCGCGCCCGGGGCCGCTCCCCGCCTCCCGCCTCTCCTGGCCGCCCGCGGGGCGGCCCGCCCCCTCTGCACCTCCGGGCCCGGAGCTGCCTCCATCGCTCCTGCATCCCGGACGGGGGGAGGAGGAGGCGGAGCAGGAGGCGAGCCGGAGCCGCCGCCGCCAACGCCGCCGCCGCCGCCGCCGCCGCCCGAGCAGGACAGAGCGCGCCGCAGCTCCGCGCGTCCGGCCGCCGCCCGCGCCCATCCAGCAGCTGCGCCCGAGCCACACCGCGGGACAGCCCGGGCCGCGGCGCGCCTTTGCCCAGCCCGGCCCGGCCCAGCCCAGTCCCTGCACCGGGCGGCCCGGTGGCCGGCCCGCCCCCGAGGGCGCCGGGCGCGGCGGGAGGATGCCGAAGCCGACGCTGCTGCTGCGCGGGGGCTGGGAGCGCGAGCGCAGCCCCGGGGACTCGGAGCTGGGCCGCCAGTTCCGGGACTGGTGCCTGCGCACCTACGGCGATTCGGCCAAAACCAAGACGGTGACACGCAGCAAATACCAGCGGATCGCCGAGGTCCTGCAGGGCGGCGGCGGGACCGGCGCGGGCAGCGGCCCGGCGGCCGGCGAGAAAGGCAAGTTCCAGTTCTGGGTGCGCTCCAAGGGCTTCCGCCTGGGCAGCGGCCGGGAACCCAAGATGGGCCAAGTGGTGTATGTGCCGGTCAAGACGGGCTCGGTGAGTGCGCGCGCGGCGGCCGCGGGCTAGTCCCGCGGCGGGGCTCTGGGCGGGCGGGGGCGGGGTGGGGGTGTGGATGTGTGTCCGAATGCTGTGCTCCTGAGGGTGTCCGTGTGTCTAGCCCACCCGGGGCGCGCGCGTCCGTGCTCACTCGCCCTCCCTGGCTCGCCCCGGCAGAGCTCGGGGTTTGGGGCGTCCCTGCCCCCCTCTGCGCCGCTGCCCGGGCCGTGGCCGTGACGGGCGGGCTGTCCCGGGCTGCTCACCCCAGCGTGTTCTGTCCTCCCGTCCCCTCCCCTCCCCCTCCTCCCCCCACCCCTGCCAGGAGGCGGCTGCTACGGAGCTCCAGCCTACCCCCTCCCGCCTCGGGGCCGCCTGTCCCGGGCGCCTCGCGCTCCCGCCCCCGGGCCGGCTGGGCGGTGTGTGTGTGTGTGTGAGTGTGTGTCTCTGTGTGTGTGTGTGTGTGTGTGTGTGTGTGTGTGTAGGGTGGTGCTGCGGGGGTGGGGAGGCAGAGGTAGCGGCGGGACGGGGAGTCCGCTGGGCCTCCCCGCACCAGGGGAGGGGGCCAGCCCTGGCACAGTCGCCCCGACCCCACCCGGTGCTGGCCCGGGGAGGGGCAGCCGGAGCCGCAGCCTGGCGCAGAAGCAGCCTCCCAAGGGTGGGTGGGGCGTCCCCGCCGCCCCCCGGGCCCCGCGCTTCCCCCAACCCTGGGACGGGGGCGGCATGACCTATTCATCCCCTCCCCTCCCCCGTCCCCCGGGCCGGTCCGGGTGGCGCTGGGGAGGGGGCGGGTAACCGCAGCCCCCGGGAAGGAGGAAGCCGGTGGCCAGTGGCCAGGCGGGGGCATCCCCTTCGGCCCGGGGCGCCCTGGAGAGGGCGTGTGTCTTGGGCCCCGCGGCTCCCCCCGCTGGGACCTCATTGTTCTGCAGAGGGTGGGGGCTGGGGGGGGACAGCTGCTCTCGGGGCGCTGCTGAGCTTTGAACTTTCCGTCGCCCAGACCTTCGGGTAGTGCGTTCGGTCCCCGGCCCGGCGCGGCCGGGCCAGCCTAGCTTTCCTCCCCGCCGCCCCTCCCTGGCCTCGCCCGGCCGGAGCGCTAGAACCCGGCCGCCCCGCGCCGGCCTCCCTCCTCCCTGCTCCCCCGCTCCCCCCTCCGCGCTCCTCCCCCGTCCGGCGCGCCCGCCCCGCGCTCAGCCCTGTCCCCGGCCGGAGCGGGCTCTTCACACACAATTGATTCGGTCGTTACGAAAAGTGCACTTGTCCCCTCCCCCTCCCCCTCCGGCGGCCGCCCGGGCCGGGCCCGCGGGGTGAGGGGACCGCGAGGGAAGGAGGCGGGAGGCAGAGAGCGGAGCCCGAGGCGCCTCCCCCCCCCCCCGAGCCCAGGGGACGGGGCTGCAGGCCGCGGGGAGTGGGAGCCGCGAGCTCGGAGGGCGGGCGGCCCATCTGCGAGGAGCGCTGATAACCGCGCCGCTGCCGCTGCGGCCGCCAGCAGCCCATCTGCGCCGCTGCCGCCTCCGGCCGGACGGGGAACAGGGGGCAGGGCCGAGGGGCGCGCCCGCCGGCTTCCCGGAGCGGGAGGCTGGGCCGAGTCCCTGCGGCGCGGGCTACAGAGCCCCCAGCAAATGGGCACTCGCCCCCAAACCCAGGGGGTCTGGGTCATTGTCCCCTGCTCCGATGGGCCAAGGATCCTCCCCCATCCAAATCACTATCCGTTTGCCCTTACCGGGCAGGTGAGCCGTCACCTGTCACCTCCCGAAAGCGTGATAGGTCATCCCTTCCCACCCTGCTAGTTTGGGACTTCCACTGGGTTCTTCCCATCCTGAGCAATCCCGCCTCCCAGCCCCCGAATCAAGGTGGTTCTTCCTACGGCAGCCACCCACCAGAGTGTTATCTAGCTGCTTGCCTTCGGCCTTCAGGGCTTCCCATGGCGGTCCTCACCTCATCCTTCTCATGGCTACCCTTCCCAGCAGGTTAGGGTCTTGCCCCAACTCCTTAGTGTGAGCCAGGATCCCCAGTCCACCCACCTTTGGGGTTCAGGGGAGATACTCCCACACCTGGCTGCTGGCTTACTGTCTCTGTGGGTCACCAGCTAGGGAGTGGAATCATGAGGCAGTTTGTCCACCCTTTATTTCACACAGCTGTCAAGGCAGACAATCCCTTCCCATCCACTTGGCGAAGCTGGTGCTAGGCCCGGGCTTATATGTCCTGCCTGAGCCAGCTAGCTAGCTGCTTCAGATATTTCTCGAAGCCCACTCTTGTCTTCCTTGCTTGCCTCTTACAGCAGGGACCTGACAAGCCTCCACCCTGCCTCTAAGACCAATAATAAACCTTCCCCAGGGGACCACCTGCCTGGGAGGCAGAGAAACAGGACCCAGGCCTCCCCGCCCAGGCTGCCAGGAGGATGACAAACACAACAAACATGCCCTCCTGTGACAGCCTGTCCCTCCAGTCCCCCATGCCTGCTTGCTGGGCCTGCCAGTCCCCAGAGAACCTGTTAGTTACCTGCCGCCAGCCTAGCCAGCCAGAGTGCTGCCACCCATCTCCAAGTGTCTTCCTGGGGTGCCGTTATCACTTCCCCATTTCCATTTTCCTTTTAGCTGATCTTAGAAGCAGATCCTGCTGGGAATTCTGAGGCAGCCATGGCCTCTTCGTAGGAGGGACTGGATGGGACCTTTTTTGAAAGATAGAAAGGTCATCCCTCTGCCTTTACTGGTCCACAGGCACACACACGCACATGCATACACACCATACACACGTGTACAGGCAGGCACATGAAACTGAAGTTGTCATTGCTCCTGGTGTCAGTGGGAGGGATTTTGTAGTTTTCTCCTGGGTGGGCTCTTCTGAAGGTCATTGGGCCAGAAACCTTTGTCCATAGCATTTATTTGGAGTCTCCAGGCCTTGGGGTAGGCCCAGGGCCTACATGGCGGTTAGGACTGGACATTTGGTGTGGGTGAGCGACTTCTCCTGGGACACGTGGCCAGTAGGGAAGACAGGTACAGCTGACAAAGTGATAAAAGTCTGCAGAGACTGGAGAGGGAGGGCAGCTAGGAAATGTCAGGGAATCGGGGAGCCAGAGATGAGCCCGAGGGTGGTACTGGTGGAGAGTCACCATCGTGTGTGCCCTCCCTCTTCACCCCCCTCAGGTCTCCTTTCCTCCCCTACAGTTCTATGAGGAGCTGTGGTCAAGGCCCTTTCCAGGCTTCCAGGTCTGCTTTGGGTCGATGATCTGACACTTGTACCGTCCCATCTGGCCCTGAGCTTTTCTGGGTGTGTGTGACAAAGGCTTAATCTGTCCGGACGGGCCAGGGCAGAGAGGAGGGCGCAGGGAATTACACTCAGCAGGGCCTCCTGCAGCTGGGGCCCACGTGGGGGTGGGGCTTGGTGGGGGAGGGAAGCCTAGCTTGGGGGAGGCAGGCTGGTCTCAGTGTGCAGGTTGTCACAGGAAGTCGAAGGTGCAGAAGCCTGAGAGAGGGCGGAGTCCCTTACTGGTGCTCATGGGGATAAGATCTTTTAATGATAAGAACCAGACAGGGCCTCTGGCTGGTCAAAGCCTGGTTTGGCTTTATTATTTCTTGTGTTTGGCCTGCTCTGACCACATTGGTGGCCAAGCAGAGGAAGTGAAGCCCCCGGAGGGAAGATTTTCTAGTTCTGTTCCAGCCACACAGTGAACCCACTCTTCTCTTCCCACCCCGGCCTCTGAGTTGGACTGTCCCTGGGACGAGGGAGGGCCACAGATTCAGACAGGATAGGACCCTGAGCCAGCTGCAGATTCCTAGTTCAAGAGGACCCCAAGGCTCTTTGGAGAGACATGGCCTCAGCCCAGAGTACCAACTTCCAGGACACAAACTGAGGTCCCCAGGGAGAGGCAGCTCCGTTGGTGGAGAGCTAGGCCTGGGGCACAGGTCTCTGAGCTTCACCGTGGCCTCTCCTGGGTCTAGCACATGCTTTGGATCCTGAAGTGAGAGTCCTATTCCTCCAGGGTCCCCTCTGTGATTGCCTAACTTCACTATCAACACCAGGCTTCTGCGAGCTGGACCCCAGGTGTTGAGCTGGCCAAATTGACTAATGGTGGTCTTTTCCCAGTTTGCAGATGACGTTCATTTAGTGGAAAGCGTTTTCACAGTCTGAAGTCTTCCTCCCCAGAGCTTTTGTGTAAACCTTTGGCACCTGCGGCCACTGGGCTGGGCGGGAAAGGGTCTCTGATGCTATACTGTAACATTATAACTGGCTTCGACCAACAGGCTTCCACCTTCAGTGCAATGGCTATCTCTGCCTTCTCTCTTTCTCTCTCTCTCTCTCTCTCTCTCTCTTTCTCTCTCATCCTCTATCACTGTAGCCCTCTCCCTTCTCCTCCTCTTTTTTTCTTTTCTTTTTCTTTTTTTAAGTCTCACTGTGTAGCCCCTGGCTGACCTGGAACTCTGTGTAGACCAGGCTGGTCTCAAACTTGCAGAGATCTGCCTGCTTCTGCCTCTCAAGTGCTGGGATTAAAGGTGAGCACACTCATAGCACTTGTTTCTCAGTAGGCTACTGTGTGCCTGTCATTGTGTTGAAGTGACACCTCAGCTTGTGGGAATCACACAGCAGCTCTTAGAGGCCAACACTGCTATTATCACCTGTCAGATAGGTAAACTCAGGCGTAGGGGGCTTAAGAAATTTCCCTAGGTCATACAAAGGAGTGGGCAGACGTTGACCCTGGGCACTGTTTCAGACACATTTCTGTTCTGAGTCCGAGGTAGAGTGCAACATAATCTAATTTGAATGCCTAAGCCCTCCCTGATAGGCTTTCAGTCCCTCACATTTTAGTCTGAATTTGTTTAGAAGAATCCCTCTGGTCAAGACATCTGGTTTTGTGGATTGGTGCCGTGTAAGATGTCTGGGGCTTTCCTGGAGGACAATAGAATAGGAATGGGTGAGGAAAGTCTCTGTTGTCTTGGGTCTCCGGGGACTTTGGGGAGAGAGTTGACAGTGGTGTCTGGTACAGGCCCCATTTAGATTTCTCAGGA